ACACGTTTTCAAGTATCTTAACCCCACCTTTGCTGCAATCTTCCTGGCTCCCTTTTACTCAGGATTGAGATTCAATTGGGCTGTCTCTCTACAGCTATACCATTTTTAAAAATATCAGAATATGCCTGTATTTATAGGTAAGTAGCCTGTGCCCCAAGGCCCAAGTGCCCTGACACTTCTCTGGCAACCCTACTCCACCCTCCAAGAACCCTGGATCACTCCAGAATCCAGCAAGTAACAGGTTAACTCCCGGCCAAGCTGGGGGCCTTCTGGACTTGGGTCTTTGAATATTTGAATACTACCTCTGCCTCTGAGAGTGTAGCAACTCCTTACCTTTTAAGGCCCGGCTAGGGTCTGCATCCTTCCCAACATCCTTTCTAATGACTTCAGCCTGCAATTTAAATAAATATTTATAGGATGCCTTCTGGGAGCAGGCAATGTGTGCTTGGTGTTGGTGATAGAGTGGTGAACAACACAGACAGCTTCTGGTCACAAAAAGCCAGGGGCAGGTAGACAGCCACTCAACAATAACACCAACTGCCTGGAGACACATTCTAGTAAGTGTCATGAAAGAAAAGCACTGGATGTGATCAGATCATAGTAAGTGCAGGATAAAGTATGACAGGACAATAGAATTTAACCTGGGGACGCAGAGAAAATATCTACAAAGAGGGAGCATTTAAGTGGAGAATGATAGAATGAGTGGGTGAGGTCAGGTGAGTTACTTGGGGTGATAGGCCTGGAGCCCACTGAGCCTGTGGGAAGACTCTGGGCCAGAAGAGCAATCACTGGTGGTTAGTCACTGAAGGAAGGGGCAGATTGAGGAGATGCTACTGGGGAGAGTCAGGCAGAAGCTTTATCATGCAAGACCCAGTGGACTTGGTAAGGACTTCGAATCCCACCGTAAGTGCAAAGGGAAACCTCTGGGAGTTTGAGGCAGGCAAATGGCGCAGTCCACACCACGTGAGGAGTGGGGCACGAGTGAAAAGCTTTTGGAAAGGATGAAGTGTCAGGGAATTTGTCCAAGTTTGAGAGGGGTTATGCATATACTTTAAATGATAGGGTAGCAATTCCAAGCATTTTTTTCCTCCAATGATATACTGCCTGCTAATTTATACAGCTCGCTCCCTCAGATGACTCTGTCCAACTCCAGGCAGGAGGAGGTGAAGGAAGGTTCTGTCGTTCTTGGTAACCTTATTTTCTTATGAAGCCAGCATTTTTTCCCCTGGCTTTTTTCCTTCTTTCTCATGGAAATTTCCTTTTGTTTCCCTCTCCTGGCCTTGATATAATATTTTTTCCCCCTTTTGATGATGACAACATATTTCTGCCTTCACAGAATGCATACTAATTTACTTGAAGGCCAAGACCTGCAAATTATTTTTATACTGAGGTCTGATCAAGGTCTCAATAAATACCTAGTCTCACATAGCCATTTTTTCATCTTTTTCTTTAAGAAGCTCATACTTTTTCATGGTTCAAAACGGATGATTGAGCCACCTTTTGCGCGCGCACACACACACACACACACACACACACACACACCCCTCCTCTTTTGAGCTACCACTCTACATTTTGCATAGCACCTCCAATGGTCTTTTCTACTTTTCCAGTTATCTTGGCTGTAACATCTCTTTAGCAGGGATAAAAAAA